GCTAGATTTGAGGGCGAGGGGGGTGTTGTTGAAAGGCAGTCGCTAGACGTCCAGGGTTTTCATTGTTAAAGTAGCAGCGCAGATACATACATGGCCCCTAGAGAGAAAATCATCAGAGGCGAAAAGACATTAACGAGGAACTCACCGAACAGTGGGCCATGAACGGCGCCTGTGCGTACAATCAAGCAATCATAACTCGTGTTTGAAAAACGTCAAACAACTCAAGTCATCCGCAGTTCGTTATGAGTGCATTGAATTGCTGTTTGGTATCTACAAGTGTCAACGAAAAGACATCAACGAGGAACTCACCGAACTCGGTGCCTGTGTGTTCAAAGAAGATAAGCGGACTTCAAGTGATCATAACTCGTGTTTGAAAAAAACGTCAAACAACTGAAGTTATCCGCAGTTCGTTAATGAGTGCATTGGAATTGCTGTTTGGTATCTACAAATGTCAACAAAAGACGAGAAACTCACCGAACTCGGCCTTGAATGGTGCCTGTGCGTGCAAAGAGGAAACTCAAGTGGGCTCCAATTAACCATGCCAATCCCAACTCGCGTTTGACAAAAATATCTACAAATGTCAAAAGCAAATGAGTAATACCACGCAACAAAGAAACCGAATCACGACCGCCTTCCAACAACCCTCTCCGTCAACGCCACCAACCCTCTCTTCGCCACGCTCTCCGGAAGCTCATCAAGGACCTCCTTGGCCTTTTCCGCGAATTCTTTGGCGAGGAGTTTAGTGCGGTGAACGCCTGAGGAGCGGTGGACTAGGGAGCGGGCCTGTAGGGTGTGTTAGCTCGGGATAAAGGAGGGTGGAGGTGAGAGAGGGTAAGGAAGAAAGCGAGAGAAGGTAGGAAGAAAGCGAGAAAGAGAATCGAAGGAAGATGAATGGGGTCGAGGAAGCAAACTAAACACACCATCGCTGTGTGTTAGCTCGGGATAAGGTCGAGGTAAAGGAGGGGTGGAGATGAGAGAGGGTGGGTGAAAGTGAGGAAAGCGAGTTATAGTAAAGAGAATCGAGGAGAAAAACGAAACACAAACCATCTCAACATCCCCAGGACCCTCAAACTTCCTCCCAATCAGCTCCCCCATCTCGGGAAACTCTTCCCAAGCATACAGAGCTGGTCCGGTGGCTAAGCCAAGTTGAAGATCCGCACCGCCTGGTTTACCGAGTGTTAGATCTGCGGAGCCCGGTGTCGATGTTGATTCGTAGTCGAGTATGTCGTCTATTAGCTGGAAAGACGACGCGACAATTAGCAAGAGGAAGAGAAACAAGAGGAAGAGGAAGGGAAAGCACCTGAAAAGCAATTCCCACATTCCGTCCATAAGCATACGCTATATCCTTCCACACCTCGCCCTCTTCACACCCACCCAACACAACGGCCGACCGTGCGCCCTTGGCCATGAGGCTCGCTGTTTTGAGGTACGTCTTCTGTAGGTATACCGTCCATGCGTTTTTAGTTTTGCCTTCCACTCCCATATATTTTTCCGTGGCTCCCTTTTCTATCCCAACCTCCCCACCCCCACCCCCATTCAAAACAACATCCCGCATCTGCAAAATCTCCCCCTCCACCAAATTCGATATAACACTCGCGATAAGCTGCGTGACTTCCGCGTCACCGAGCCTGGCTAATGCAGTTGAGGCTCTGCCTAAGATAAAGTTCCCTCCCAATACAGAGAGCTTGCTACCGAATTTGCTTGGGGCGGAGGGGGCACCCCGACGAAGGGGTGAGGCGTCTATGACGTCGTCGTGTAGGAGTGAGGCTGTGTGCAGCATTTCGACGATCTGGGCTAGGCGGAGTTGGGTTGGTAGGAGATGCTCATGGTGGTGGTCGGAGAGGGTTGGTGATGACGGAGATGGGGTTGAGGATGGTGGGGAATGACTTCGTGGTGACGGTGGATATGTGTGACCCTCTTCAAACCTGGACTCCTACAAAGCACGCAACTGAGAAACTTCTCCGCTTTTGAGAAGTCACCACCGAGAAAATCATGCTGAAAAATATCTTTTTCGAGGCAAGGCACAAAGCGAACCACAGAGGAAATATATCCAGGGCATTTCCTTTGAAGTTATCGAATGGGCTGAATTTCAATTCCAAACATTTCAGCTGGCAAAGTGAAGCCGTGGTTGTGTCTGCGGTAGACGATGATGCGGCAGGGTTCAATGCATAGTGAAGTGAAGGTTGACGACGATTCTTCATGCACATGACCCAATCATGAGTCATGACCTCAAAAGTCGCCGACATTATGTAATTATAACAAACACCGATCAACAATACGGTTGTTCTGATCATCGATCAGCTTCCTTTCACTCCACCACGGACGCTTCATCCTACCTTTGCATCGATTACTTTCAACCATCTGGTGTTTGTTGTATACCCGGTCACATCCACACCTGTTCAGCCCCACAATTTCCCCTTCACAACCAGGACCTCATCCCATCTGTAAAAGCTGACAGGCGGCCAGGTCTGCCCATATGCCCTTTGTTATCACATTTGTACCCTCGATTATCTCTCTTGCCGCCGAGTTTTGACTACAAATATACTACCGAGACTTATCCAAAGGCTATTTTCCACAAGTTTTCCAGGTGCTTCAATTTCTGCTATTCTTTTTTCTTCACTAACCAGGGGGTGGGACATTCTCTTGACTGTACCTAAGATTAACTTACACCATCGCAACCAAAAATGCAGGATCGGAAAGCAGCAGCATCATGCACAAGCAAGTTGTATTCCTTGATGTCCTCTATCGCCATCTTCACACTATTTGCTTCAATGGGCACTGATGCCTATTCCACTGCCGACTTCCTCACCCCTCCAGATTGGTTCGCACATGGCTTAGGGAATTCCGGAGGTGTTGGTAAAGGTGGATCCATTGAACCCATCAATGTCATCATCTCTGCTCAATCTCAGATCAATCCAATCAAGGCCTTGACTTCCTTTTCGTCATTCACTACGTGCTTCGACTGGATCAGTACCTTGCAGGCAAACGTGAATCCCGGCCAAACAACCCGAGTGAATCAATCAGTTGGCTTACGCGATGGGGGATGCATACAGTGGGCCCTTGGCGGTAATCACCTTAGGGCATGGCCTCAGACGCTGCCTGATGGCAACACTGCCTACTTCATCGCTGCAAGTACAGAAAGTCCCTGTATTAGTGATGGGGGAAATTCAGCTCCACCTTTCGTGCCGAACTGGCACTGCATTGATGCAGATGGTTTCAATGAGGGACGGGACCAGCTCACTGACGACTTTACCAGTGTTTCTCTTAAATACCCTTTCGTCCTCGGGATACAGAAGGTCCAACTCTACCCCAGTGGCGTTGGCACTGATGCTGGCAAGGGCAGCACCATTGATCACATCCCTTATGACGGTAAAGTGAACATTCTAACGTTGACGTAAGTCTCCTTTACAGTAAAGTTAATTTCAGTCTCGTTGATCAAATTGTGCAGGATGTCAAACTGTCCACAAAATCTAAAGCGCTCGGGCGAGTGTTAAGTGGCTATTGTTTCTATCCTTCTGCCTTTCGCTCTATTACAATCATTACTTTTCTAGTCCTCCCCTTCCACATACTCGAGGTTTTATTTTCACTTTCACAAGGAATTCTGTAACGGTTTCATTTTTAACTGTCATGGTCTTATTCGTCGTTCTCGTGTCTCATTTGGTTTAACTAAGTAATAGCATAAATGTTGTTCTATGTACTCACGGGTTTGAGCAAATGTATCCCTTTGCGCAGCGTCTGCAACTGTTAAGTAATTCGAAGGGCTCAGGTTCCGAAGCATGCGCCTCAACATTCTGGCGCGAGCGATATATTCAACGCGTCATTCGGCTGGCCGAAGAAGCACTTGCGAGTCAGCAGACATGAATTTTGAGTAGCTTTCCTCTTTCCGTGACTGATTACGGACAAAACATTGAGCTTAATTTTCAAGCACGCAATCCTTCACTGCACTCAAATTACGATCTGGGTCTTCATATATCGTGAACCAAGGTACGACTTCACATATATCGAAGTCTGTCTAGGAGAGACTAACCTGGGTCCCCATTCTTACAAAGCAAAAAAATGTTTGACGTTATCTGGCTGCCAAAGAAAGCGAAACAGGAAACAGGAATATATAGGACTACGTATTTACAAAATACCCTTCTCGCGCTCGTCCATATGTTTGCCGTCAGTGGTGTGGAGATGCCCCTCATCGAGGCTGTTCAACTCATCTTCTTTGCGGTCAAGGTCGCGCACTGACCACCAGAAAGCGATCCCTGAAACACCAGCGAGGACACCCATAACGCCGTAGTTCCATACTAGCAGAGGGTCGGAGGAAAGGGCTGACGAGAAATTAGTACCGTGAAATAAAAGGGGAGAAGGGGGTAACTCGCAAACGAAGGCTTCTCCAATAGCACTTGACAGCGCGGTCATAAACAGGAAGACGCTCATAACAAGAGACCTCATGTTCTTCGGTGCTTTAGTAAAAGCGTACTCAAGCCCAGTGATAGAAGCCAAGATCTCGGATAGAGCGATGAGGACGTACGTGCCCGTTTGTATCCAAACATTCAGGGGAGAGACCTGGTCAGCGGGGCATGAGGAGGCGAGATACCCGCAGGGGTTGGTTTTGTAGATGTAGTGCTGAAGGATGGCAGCCCAAATCATGGCTGCGGCGACGGTGAAGAAGCCAAGGGTGATCTTCTTGAGAGCGGCGAAGTTAATGCCTACACGGCGAAGGAGGGGGTAGACCTGGAGGTGAAGGTGATTGTATCAGGGCCTTGTACATCATAGGTCGGGATGGCAAGAAACTCGCCACCAACCCGACGCAGATCATGGATTTTCTTCGGGAGCTCCCTTCCACAGCCCTTGAGACTACGAAACCCGATTTGCTTGGGTCAGGGACCAACAGGGTCAGGGTGGAGTTTAGTGACCACGATATTACACCGTATTGTGGCCTGGGCAGATTAGGCAGAGCCTGAGTGGGAGGGAATTAATAGAGATCGTGCAAATTTTTTGTATGTATGATTCGCCGTTCAAATCAAGAGGGCGATCTTTGTTGAATCTAAACCCTAGATAATAACGAAAGATACTCAGTCTCGGTTACAACAGACTCTATTAATCCTGTACCTAGATAATAACGAAAGATACTAGGTACAGTAAGTAAACGTATTCTTGAGTACGGATGGAAGTGGCTCACCTCAGTCTCGGTTACAACGGACTGAGGTGGCCATAAGCTAACTACGTGTTTATATAGTAATGTATGAGTGGCTAAGGGGATAAAGAGAAAGAGAAAGAAAGAGAAGATAACAAAGGGGTATGCACGGTGTCGTGACATCCCAACACTCCTCCTCACCGTGGATACTCCTCCTCGCATGGAGTCTTGGTGGTTTATCCGAGTCCTAGGAATCCACGAAAGCGAGTGAATTTCTTAGCATCTAGGGCTTTTGTAAATATGTCGGTGATGTTATCGTTGGTGTTAATATAGGAAAGGGAGATTTCCTTCGATTGGACGCGCTCGCGAAGGAAGTGGTGTTTGATGTCGATGTGTTTTACGCGATCGTGTAACGCTGGATCTTCAGAAAGATTTATGGCGGCATTATTGTCACAGCAGATGGTGGTTGGTGCAGTAGTTGTGTGACCGATACTGTTGAGGAGCGTGCGTAGCCAAATACCTTCTTTTGACGCTTCAAAGGCCGCAGTGTATTCTGCTTCGCAAGATGAAGCGGCCACGGTTTTTTGCTTTCTGGCTTGCCAGGATATGACGCCTGAGCCTAATGTATAAGCGTGCCCACCTACACTTCTCCGTGTGTCGAGGCAGTTTGCCCAGTCTGAATCCGTGAATCCCATTAGAGAGATTTGGTTAGTTCCGCCGAGGCGAAGTTGGAGTTGTCGTGTGCCGGACAAATAGCGTACCACGCGAATCGCAGCGTTCCAGTGAGCGTAAGAGTAACAATCGAGGTATTGTGATAGTTGTTGGACGGAATATGTGATATCCGGACGTGTGCCTATTGACAAATAAAGTAGACAGCCTACGAGTGAGCGGTATGGGAGTTTTTTGATTTCGTCCAATTCATTTTTGGACATGTTTTTGTAATTGGCGCGTCAAAGTTTTAGTCCGGGGTCCATCGGTAATGAGGATGGAGAGGCTTTCTGCTGACCGAACTGAGTGACGATTTTGTCGATTAATGCTGTCTGTGATAGCATGACGGTTCGGTTAGGCCTGTCCCAATTAACTGCTATGCCAACGACGAATCGGACGTTACCAAGATCTGAAATGGTCCAGGCTTCGCGCATTTGATTTTTGAAAATTTCGTTTTCATTCTTGTTGCTCGCGATAGATAGGAAATCATCGACGTGCACTGCGCAGATTACGGTGCCTGTGTCAGTTTTCTGTAGTAGATGCACGATTCACAGGATAAGCGGTTGAAGCCCCAAGATAACATCTTTTCATTCATTGTGATGTTCCAGATGCGTCCGCTTTGCTTCATCCCGTAGAGTCCACGTTGGATTTCCCATACCCAATCTTCTTTGCCAGGCTCTTCGAACTCAAGAGGTTGTTCCATGTATTGATACTCCTCCTCAGGGAGTAAACCGTAAAGGAAGGCGGTCTTTATGTCGATTTGTTGAGCATCCCAATCGAGAGCGGCTGCTATATGAAGAAGTATACGCCATGACTCCATGCGCGCTGTAGGTGAGGTTGTTTTGGTAAAGTCTTTACCGTAGATTTGCTCATAACCTTTGAAGACAACATGGACCTTCCAACGAGTTGCTTTTCCTATTTCGTCGCGTTTGATTCTGAAGACGGGCATCCCTTTTCTTACTTTGTGTCCTTGTGGAACGTCCGATCTGGGGATTAGTTTGTATACGCCCATTTCCTTGAGTGATTTCAATTCATCTCGATATCCTTCCTCCCAACGTTTCGCGTCCGCTGATGCCTTTGCCTCATTCCAATTTTTCGGCTCATCCTCGAATTCCAGGGTCGATGGATCAATCTGCGGCATTTCAGATATAGCGGAGAGTACTTGATCGACGCGATTGCCCTCGGCATCACCGAGATTCAGGGTTCCGAAGATCTCCATCAGTTCTGCAATGGCGGCGTTCTCGACAACTTCTGGAGCGTTGCGCGTTTCCTCCTCTCAAATGTCTTGAAGCGTCTTTTTGCGTTCAGTTCGTGCTTCACGAAGTCTGATGCCGGCGTCTGTGGATTCTTGGACTGCTCTTTCGGTGCGTGTGGGTTTTGGTTCGTATGATTTTTCGGCGATTCGTGAGGAGCGTCTGATTTGAGTATCATTTTCAGCGTTTTGAGCAGGATGAATGGGTTGTGTGTTATTTAGTTGACTAAGATCATCTGGTAGGACATCTTCTTCCTCTCCATTTGATACGACAGGTGTAGGCGTGGCATTGTTTAGAATTTCATTAAGTGTTGATGGTATTTCTTCAACGTTTGGTGGAGGTCTTGTGTGTCCATCATGGCTTTCCAAAAATCGTACATGGTAAGAGCTTATCACCTTTTTAGATTCTCGATGATAGCATCTGTAGGTTTTTGCGTTTGGGTCATAGCCGATCAGGACGCATTCGATGGAGCGGTCGAATACCTTGGGGTTGTGTTTGTTTTGAATGAGGACAAAGACGCGACAGCCTATTTCACGCATGTACGAGTAGTCAGGCTTCCGTCCGTGAAATTTCTCCCAGGGTGTAATGCCTCCTGGTAGAGAGCGTGTGAGGGTTTTTGAGTGAAGGTGTGCTGCTGTGAGGTAGAATTCATCCCATAAGTATGGAGGGCAGTCTTCGTAGATACGCATGGTCCTGGCCTTCGCCATGAGGGTTCGATGCATGCGTTCAACACGACCAATGTGGGCAGAGGTGTATGGCGCTGTGAAGCGTTGCCATCAGAGTCGTGAAGGATGATGGGTTTCTTGCATCCCTCATTGTGCTTCGCCAAAACGACAAGTGGTGGACTCAACTTGCCGAGGAGATTGACTATAGTCACAACTGGTCCATTTCTGCAGCCACCTCCATCGCGTGGGTGGTCATCGCCTACGTCTTTAGCGTCCTTGATACTTTCATAGCGGGCGTCGACACCTCCATCCATTCCAATGGCCTAGGAGTAGGATCACTTTGGCTGTGGCTTCTCCCCATCGTCGTTGGGTGGCTACAGTTCTCGCCCAAATGTGACGCGGCACTGCTCAAGAAAGCCGTAGCGCATGCGAATGACCTTGCGTACCTTGCCACGGATGATGGGAAGAGTGTTCTCCTGAAGGACAAAACCGACATACGAGCTATTGACCTTACCTTGACAGATGTGGATGACCTGCATCGGGATGAGAAGTGTACTTCGCCAGTCTTCAACTATGCGCGATTCTTCCCGTGGGTGCAGGCAGTGGAGGATGTGTCCGAAGCTTTCCAGGCGGCATCCGAACGTTTTCGCCGTCATGAGCCGGTCAACGAGCCGGTCGACCCCGATGCTGAGAAACCTAATTATCGTGATCGTGTGGGCACCAGGACTCAAGTCGAAAAGTATTGCACGGCCGAGAAACCTCCTGCACGTGGTCGCTGGGGACCAAAAGTTGTATCCAGAATGTTTCTTGCATCTGGTCTCGCATTGATGTTACAATGGGGCACGGCTGGAGCTGCCTTCGTTCAAGCCTGGTACACACCTACTCGAGGTGAGAACTTCACTCTTCTCTCTCCTCCGTCTTGTTTGCTGATCACTGTCACAGGACTCGGCTGCCGATCATTAGCTGTGCTCATTTACGCTGTCCTCTCCACGACCGTTTGGATGATGTTAGTGACCTCAAGCATCCTAACACACTATGCCTCGAACCCCCAACACCGCTCTGAAGGCCATGTCATCCATGAAGGTGAGGCCAGAGATGAAGAAGGCCAGGCCCTCCTTGAAGACAAGGCCATTCGTCATCGGTCCACAGCTCGATGGATCTCAATTATGCTACGCCGTCTCGGAAAGCTCATCGCCGGCTTCAACGCGGTCTGGGCAGTCACCGCGTGCTTTTGCCAGTTCGGCAACGTCTTTGACAATTGTTTTTGTAACAGCAGCGTCTTTTCTCTGGGCAAGCACGCGTATTCTGTCATAACTCTTCAAGATCTTGACTTTTGGATTATACAAAGTGCGTGGATTGGCAGCGTGTTTTTGGCGGGCGCCACTGCGGCCATATATGTGCTCTTCGCCAATTTCCTTATCGAGCCGCCCTTGCCTGAGATCGTGCCAGTGGCGACTGAATGAAAACCTGGTCATGGCTGGTCTTTGCTTTTTATGTGACATTTAAATACGTTCTCATACCAATCTCATACCTTCTGTAAAGTCTTGTCAGGTTTCTCGCTTGTGTCACTGTAATATAGCGATCGTATTGTGAATTATGCTTACAAGAGAGGGGGTTATGAAGATCTGTCCGGGCCAGTTGGAAGAAACCATGACCAGCGATAACGATGCATGATAGAATAACGTGTGCGGCCCAGAGATTAAAGCTAAGATTATGAGGGCGAGGGGGGTGTTGTTGAAAGGCAGTCGCTAGACGTCCAGGGTTTTCATTGTTAAAGTAGCAGCGCAGATACATACATGG